CAAAACACACATGCAAAAGGGAAAAAAAAAATCTCTCCCCAAAGCCAGCAATTAAAAGCAAAGTCCCAAAATTTCACTACCTCTTCCCTTTAACAAAATGAAGAAAAAAAGACATTCTACACTTACTAGTTATGTAGTCTGGTATGCTATGGCAAAAACCCTGACATTATGCATGGTGTAAGACCCTATATTAGAAAATATATATATTCTTCATTGCATAATACTTCAGGATAGCTAATTCTAAAGAATATCCACTGTGATTGCCTTTGTTTTGCCCTCAATGGGAACTGAGTTCTAATCCAGCAAACTTCATTCTCTGAAAGTCCTGAGGTAATTCAACCTCCAAACTGTTAAAATATGAGGTTTTCTCCAAGTAAGAATATTCATGATATTAAACTTTATTAAGCCTTGTAGCTAGATTTGTGATATAGACTAGAACCTGCTATGATCACCATTTCTTAAGTGTTTGAATGAGCATAAGAATGTTTGCCATTCATATTTAAAAACGGCAAACCTAAACTTTACAGGACTGATCACTAAGGCAGACCTTTTTCCCCAAGTATCACGCTCTGTTTTCTTTAGTTACATGTGCCGACTTTTAATAATGCAAGGGAGAACTGGAAGAGTACAAGAAACTCTGTAGTCTTATATCAAGCGTGCAATACAGATTATGGACATCTCTCATGACACCTCTTGTCATAGAAGAAATATGGTAGATACTTCTTTCTGTACTAGTTTGTATGTAATTCATTTCCTGGGTTCCACCACTTTACCTGCTGCAGTTCAAACATGTATCTTCATGTCCAACAGGCAGTTAAATATATGTTTATGGACACCAATATCATGGTTAAGTATAGAAATTACCTCAGCTCAAACAGTTTTTTGAAACAAAGTATTTTAATTTTCTCTTAATTAGCTTTATTCATTTGTGGAGAAGTACAGAATGAGGACATTCTATACAAACTATTTGCATTTTGATCATTATTTTCATCAGTCAAAATATTCGGCCTCTTAACAAACCAACCAAATCTGGGTGTCTTTTTTGTTCTGCTTGGCCAGCATGACACATTTGGACAGTGGCTTCAGCCAGACCTGTAACACAGCCCCAGCTGTGAAGTGTCAGCAAAAGAGAGACTACAAACATCATTCACTAGTGCTTATGAAAGACACCAGTTTTCAGAGATTCAGGGATATGTACATTGTAATACACACTTCTTTAGACCATCAGATTGAGCACTTCAGAATCAGTAACTGACCTTACGCATATATATATGGCTTGCTTACAAATTTTGTATGGTTTCAATACTTAATTGGAGTATCTAACTGCAATACAGTTTACTTTAAAAAAAAGAAGAAAAAAACAGACAGGACAGGCAAATTTTAAAGAAATATTTATATAAATGAATGCAGTAAATTCAGATGGAAACAGAGAAGTGAGTGCAAAAGCTGAATTATCTGTTATGTAAATAGCCTTGGGAGTATGGCAATCTTTGTCTGATGGTGAGAAACAATAAGGCAATGATTACTAGGGACTTAGTTTCCTTATGAAATACCATCCTTCCTCATCACTGCACTTGTCAGGGAGATCTTCTAAGTTGAAAACATGCTGTACTTTTTACTGTTTTGTCATGCTCCAAGTTTTCCCAAGCAGCAACAATAGGAAAGAAGAAAGTTTCAAACCGGTTTCTGTGGGGCTCTTGAAGACTTCCAGAAAGTGAAATAATCTTGGCAGTTTCGCCTTTGCTGCTTTTGCTATTAAAAAGACTAGGCAACAAGATATTAGTGCTACTGATGCAAGATATTAATGGAAGAAGAAACACCCCAAACAAAGAGGTTTAAAGGACAAAATGAAACAGCAGAAAAGTCTTTTATTGCACAGGATAGTTACCATACAAAAAACACCAGAGCCCCTGTGCTCAGGGTTCTCTTCAGAAGGCAAATGAGCAAGAGAGACAAAAAGTAGTATCTTAAAAGAAATATATATACTTATATATATATATAGAGAGAGAGAGATAATTATTTTGTATACATGCCTTGCTCCTAACATGAACAAAATTAGCTTTTACTTGCTGCTAATTTTTCTCATTGGCTACAAATGCAGAGGAAAATGAGCTGTCAAAGGTTGTTCTCCATCGTACAAATGAGAGCACAAACAGCAAGGTATATGTATGTTAATAAGCAGAGAGCAATGATCAGTATGCCCTTGAGAGCAGAAGCATTCCTTGAGGTTTCTGATAATCTGGTGTTATACAGTATGTTGCCTTAACTATGAGCACTTAAAATGCATTTATGAAAATAATTCTGCTTGTGCAGGGTCTCTCAAGCTAATGCAGCTCTACTCCTGCACCAGTATTTGAAACAATCCCTTTTTTAACCCATTTACGACATCTACATCATTTATGTAGGTACAATATGCAACAGCTTCTCTAATGAACTGCAGTATTCCACAATACTGTTCATTGTGTAGTGCCTACAAAGACCAATTAGATCACCACACCCTAGCTGTGTAGAGATGGAAGAACATATTTACATCCAAAAAAGAAAAAGAAAAGCCTTTCTTTTTACCAACTTTTTTCCCCCAAAACAAAAGTATGCTTTCTACTCAAATATGATTAAAACTGAATCCCAGGTACCATCAACACAGTCTTCATATTTTAAGTTCTACACTTTTTTTTTTAAGTATGGTTATAAGTGCGGAAATGCTTCTGACACCCATCTCCTCAGGCCAGATAACTACTAAATTCTTTTTTTTTTTTTATTTGCATCTGCATTAACATGGCTGTTAATTCCAGGATGAATCTTGACAGCATTTGCTCCTTTAAGTAGACTGGACCTAAAAAAGTACTGACAACCGATTAATCACCCATGGGCCTACTGAGGAGAGTTAAATCTCCTTCACTTAGAACTCATAACCTATTCCCATTTGATGGTATATGGCACATGAAGGAAAATGACATGTGATTTTAATAAAATGCACTTTTTTTTCCATTCCATCTCCTTTTTCTCATTTAAATGATTACTCCTGCTTTTAAACTATCTAAATGTCATGACACAGGCCAAGCATGATTCAGAAGTTTGCGTTGCTGTTAGCACATCCGTTTCTTGCTCAAAAATTTTCAAGTTAGCTTTCAGTTTATGATTCTCTTAAAAAAATTTCCTTAAGCTACTCCAGAAAATAGTATTTATTTTAAAAAAAAAGTTTATTTGACCCTTTATTTTACAATCACTTGTAAAAAGCTTTATGTAGAACGTAATGCTACGGTTCTTCATTAGCTTACCTGCTCATCCACCTGCTGATACATTCCTACAGGGCATTTCTGTTGATGTTTTTATGAGTTCTGCATGTATTTTTGTCACCATGAGTTAGTAAATATGCTTTCCTTCACAAACTTTCAAAAAAATAACATTTTAACATCTTAGCACATTCTATAGTCATCATGACCTCCTGGCTGTTAAATGCATTGAAAAATAAAAAAAGTTCTGTAAGAGGCACAATTTAAATCATTTTTGTCCCTTTTGGAGGAAAAAAGAAAACAAAAAGTACTCCTCTGAAATCTAAAGAACTTCAGTAATTAATTTTATGTTTCCAGATCGCTGTAGAAGGCTACATTCCTACCATTCCGCTCAAGATTCACTCTATTACTACTATTCAAGATTTTTTTTAGACAATATACATGAATAAATCATGTCTGATAGGATACATCCAGTTACAAAGAATTAAATAACTTAGGTAGGGAACAGCATAAACAAATAAAATGTATTGTTTTCCAGAATACAAAAGGATTAAGGATTGATGACAACTGATAAAAAGATCACAGGCATTTAAAATTTTTGGTCTGTTAACACATCTTTCTTTCTTATGTACTGTTTTACTGATTTGCTTCCTGAAATCTATTATTTTTCTTCTTCTATAGTTCTCTTAGTACCTGCCAGGAGGAAAGAAATTGACAACAGTGCTGGTTGCTATTGACACTGACTTACACTCTCTCAGCAAAACTATTCAGTAAGAGGTAGAGGGATGGAGTAACATGAAATATTTCTTTTCTGCCATAAGGTTAACTGCTTAACAAAGGCGCTTCCAGCACCTGTTCTGCCAGCACATGAACATTCAATAAAATGAGAATAATAAATGAGGCATATTCCATTGATAGGTCTTTATCTGTATGTCACTGCATCCAAATCCACGGGAATTCTTACATCATGTATCTGATTTCACAACAATGAAATAACCCACGTATATATGTCAGGAAGGGATATGAGTTTCTTAACTTTAAACTCTGTCTCTTTCGAAGTGCCACAATACAATTGTACAGCCTAACCATCTTGCTAAGCAGATCTATTTTTAGGAAGCTTCTTTGTTATTGTATCTCAGTGCCTACTTTTTAAACTCAGTCTAGTTTCGCTGGTAGCTGAGCTTACAAGTGCTGCCACAAGTCTCTTCCAAAGGTAAATATAAATATATGGCTGAGTTCTGCAGCAACATATTGATACAGTGTTAAAACACACTGGACAACAAGTCCGAAAGAAGACAAAACAAAAACCAAAAAAACAAAAAAAACCCCAAAAAACAAAAAACCCACACATCTGCAGAACAGCTCAGGCGTGACAACTTCACACAGACACACACCTGTATGGCAAACTGTTTGCAAGCTGCGCATCACCCCTGACACGCGTCTCTGCCTTACATAGGGCCAGTCAAAGGAAATCAGGTACCAACTTGACTCAACGCTTGGGAGAACTGCCCGAGTTTATTAACTCCGCCGTGCGCCCACCGCAGCCTCCCAGCAGAGCCCCCGCCAAACTACCTGTAACACAGCCCCTATTTCCCACCCTGCCGCCTCGCCCGGATCCCCATCCCGGTGCCCCCCCGGCCGCTCCTCGCAGCGGACGCTGCCTCCCCACCTTGCCCCTCCCCGGGGCCACACTCCGGGCAGCGGGGGAGCCGCCCCACCGCCCCCTCCTTCCCCCCTCCTCCGCGGGCCGCCCCCGCCGCCACTCACCAGCTGCGCGCCGCACACGGCCACCAGCGTGCACCGGCCGCTGCAATAGCCCATGGCTCCCGGCACCCCGCGCCGCCGTCCCGCGCCGCGCCCACTCAGGCGGCGGGAGAGCACCGCCCGGCCGCCGCCCGGCTCCCGCCTGCCGCCGGCGCTCCCCAGCCCGGGACCCGCATGGGGGCGCGCCCGCCGCCCGCCCGCCCGCCCTCAGCCGCGGCCGCAGCGCCCGCCGCCTCGGCGGTCGCGGGCAGCGGGGCCGGCCGCCCCCGCGGAGGGCGGCAGCGCCGGGGGGAGGGCGGCGGCAGGTGCCTGCAGGAGCAGCCGCGCTCTGCCGCGCAGCCCCAGAGGCATCTGGGCTTCAAAGTTTGCCCCCTCAACTCCGCTCGCAAACCATCCGGGCTCGCAGCCGTCTGCGGCGGGGGGAGGCGGGGGGAGGAGGGGAGAAGGGAGGGAGGGACGAACGAACGAACGGACGGGGAGGCGAGGCAGGCGGCGGCGCTTAGCTCGGTTCACGCTCGCAGAAGCGAGCCCACGGCATAGCTGCTTCCCCGCCCGCCTTCCTCATCCTCCTCCTCCCGGTAGGGCTCAGGCAGCCCCAGCTGTGGGAACCCCTTTCCTAGGGGCTCCCCCGCGGGAGGGCGCGGAGAGGCGGCGCAGCGGCGGGGGCGCCTCCGCTGTGCCGGCGCGGGCGCGGCGAGCGCGGCTGCACCTCCCCGGGCGCCTTTGTGTCGGCGGGACACTTCTCCGCGCCCACCCCGCGCTGGGCTTCCCGCACCGCACGGCGCCCGCCGCCGCACCCTGCCGGAGGGGCTGTGCTGTGCGGCGGCGGGGCACGGCCCGGCCCGCGGTCACGGCAAGGCAGGCCGGGGGAGCGGGGCCCGGCCGCGGGCGCGGAGCGGAGCCGGCGCGGCCGCAGCCCCGCGGTGGCGCGCGCTGCTGCCGCCTGGCGGGCCGCGGGCGGCGGTGCAGGGGAAGCCGCCCCAGCCGCGCTCCCGCCGGCACCGGGGAGAGCTCCCCGGGACTGCCGGGGACACGCCGGCCCCCGCCTGCCCGCCGCACAGGGGTCACTGCCACCCTGAGCAGAGCTCACCGGCGGAGGCAGATCAGAAAAGTCTGATCTGGTAGACTGGGAGATATCCGAGGCAGAGGCTAGGAGCTGGAGGGTGACGGCAGGAAAAGGACAAGACCGGTCCACTTTAGAAAAAAATATTAATTGGTGTCAGGGAACTGGTTCTGCCCACCATTATGATGAGGAACATTTGCACTTAGTGACTTGATCCGGCCTTCCTCTGCAGTTAAAAGCATTCAGAATACATCATGTTGGTGGGAAATTATGTGTCAAGATCTGATGTGTCAATCAGCCTCCAGAGGTTGTTAATTGCTGTGTCATCAGCAACGAGCTTGACATTGTATTTGGACCAGGGCACTCTTACTAAGCTGCCCATTACCAGAAGTAGTTTTATCGGTGGCAACAACAATTTTGAACTGGAGGAACGTCACTGAGTTTCCTGAGCACATGTGGGTATTTGTTTGCAGCACAAATATCCTGTAAAACTGGAAGCTCTCTGGAAGCTTAGAACGCCATGTAGTTTGCTCTCACTTTATAAGCAAGTTTGTCAAAATAGTTGGCAAATTGTCAAATGATCAGTTACGACTCCTAAAATTTTTATAATGTAATGAGCACTCCACAGGGAAGCAAAATACACACAAAAGTGACAGTGTTTGTCCTCTGTTCCGTAAGTACATTCTTCTGATTGTCAGCCTCTGTGCTGTCAGACACCGTATGGACCAGTAAAATCACTGGGCACAAGAATACCAAACAATGAACATATCCACTTCAGGATCTAAGGAGGCAAAGACTAGGGACCACCATAGCTAAGAAGAAATAAAGCTGTGCAACAGCTGAGGCTCAGGAAGCAGAGATGTCCAGAAAGTGGCAGAGAATAGTTCAGGTAACTCAACTCAAAGAGTCTTTCTTAACTTTTTCAGCATATCATGCTTACACTTACAGGATCACAGAATGGGTAGAGTTTGAAGGCACTACAGTGGGTCATCTGGTCCAACCTCCCTGCTCAAGCAGGGTCATCCTATAGCGCATTGCAGTGGCAAGAACAGCGTGCCTCATTATCTGAGACTGGGAGCTGGGAAGCTAACAGGAAGGGCAGCTTGTACTCATCTGGACTCTTGTGAGGAAGCAAACATTTCTCTCGCTGTGTCCAAAACTGATCTGGTTGTTCATTACAGTGGGAGGTTCCTAAGGAAAATGTGGGCAGTCGTAAGAGTCCAAAACTACAGTCTCCATGACTCCAACAGCTTCCCAAAGTTCCCTGATCCTTTTTCTTCTCAACACCTTCTCCTATTGCTTTGCATTGTAGTAAGAATCTCAACTTGTTTGTCTTCTCCTAAGTACTTTTAAAGTAAATGTGTATTTCTCTGCTGTTATCCACTTCCCCTGGCTTATCTGTCCACACAAACTTCCTTTCTGCATGTTACTTTTATCTGCTTAATCTCTTTTATCAAGAGGACTCGAAGTGAGCCACAGGATTGCGCTCTCGTTGGGTCAAATGCTCAGGTCAGGGCCTTTTTGAGTCCAGTCTAAGCCTGTTCTTGGGGCCCTGCAGCTTCAGCAAAATCAGCTGTGTACACAGCAATACTGGGTTTTTTTGGTTCCTAGTTAGGCTTAACAAAAGGCCTGTTATGTGTGCTCAGTGAGTAATTTCCAAATGTTCATAACTTTGTCGAAACAAAACCAGTTTTCTTCAAAGGCAGGCTGTGCAGTGCACTTCACTGAAGGTTATTCTATGCAAAACATTAACTTGTAGGTTACAGTGATTTCAACAGTTGATTTGTAATCATAAAGAGGCAAAAAATAAAAATAAAAAAAAACCAAGAAAACCAAGCAGATAAAAATAAGTTTCCCTGTGTCCCTCCAGTCTTCTCAATCAAGAGTAATTTTATTCCCATTTCTATAACTCATTTATGGGAGAACATCAGTTCCAAAATCTGTGACTGTCACTAATAACTGGAAACAGGAGGCTACAGATTCATTTTACACTTCCAGTTATAGGAGCTCATTGCTAGTGCTTGTACACCCAGGATGTCTAGTTTTTGGAGACAAGAGGGGAACACGCCTTTCAGTGGCATAATGGTGAAAGCCTGTGTCCCCTAGAGTGCCTTCCCTGTGATTTGACAGGACTTACTAACTGGTTTTAAGCCTAACCCTAGCCTGCTTCTTCCCTGAGCCTGGAGGAGCACCTGGGGAAACAGGCAGCCCAAGGAGGGCTGCAGCTGCCAGCCTGCTGCATCAAACCAGCAGCCACAGGAGAGAACAAGGACTTGTGACAACAAGCCGCAGGCCAAACAGACCGGCAGGAAGGGCCACTAACAGCTTATGGACCTTAGCTTCTGTATCCCTTTACTTTAATAAAACTTTTATGTGAAATCCGTTAAGGCAGCACAGTGTGGGTTCAGCGGCACGTCATCCCAGGCATTCCAGCCATGTAAGAGCTTGCTACTGCCAGCACCACCTCCCCAGGCTGTCCCAGGTGCCAGTAAATCAGCATGGGCTCCTACCATTCTAGCATCAAACCAGTCTGAAAATGCTTTGTAATTGATAATATTGGCATCAATAGTAAAGGGAAAATATTGTTTCAATCTAACCAACACCTTGTTAACAGAGCAGACCATGCTGTGTGACGTTCATGTTGATTTTTGGGGGAAAGAATCAATTAGGGGGAAAAAATAAGTGATTAAAACATAATACAAAATTATTGCAGGCTTAAGCACACTGCAATAAAAATTCTATTCAAACCTCTAAGACTGTAGCAGTATTAAACAATCTTTTTGAACATCTTCTCTACCATGAAGATTGAGTGTCAGGTACTTTTTTTTACCTCCTGCAGGATTTCAAGACTTGATTGCCCAAATGACAGTTTACTTATTTTACTGTCACATACTTTTGTGAAATGCCATAACAAGTTGATTACAGGTTTCACGTTTTGCATAGTGACAAAATCATCTGTCATATAATAGTCTGATGCCTGAAAAACCATTTAACTAAGAAGCAGTTGCTACTGAAAATAATGATATTTGAAACATAATGTGGGTTTAAATGTGTACATCTTCTAAGTAAGTCTTTGTTTTAAGTGGGTGAGAAGAGCAGTGTTATCCCTTTCAGGCATGAATTTAAGACTTGTAAAAGTCACCAGACAACATCTAGCCAGAGGGCGAGATAAATTAGGAGGGGCATAATTTCATGAATGACATGAAAAATAGAAATAGGAAGTTTGCTGATACATCGTAGCTTCTACAAGGATGAAAAAGTCCTTGGCTCCTATTATCAAAACCTATTATTCCTACCAACCTGTGCTGGAAATCTGAAGTCATGTCCTGCACCCTGACTGCTAGAAACAGAAACAGTCTCCCTTTCCTTTATGGAGAGAAATATTGGATCACCAGAACTGCTGTGAAGAAAATAATAAGGCTTTATTTTTAGTATTCAACAATATCTATACCTTAGATGAGATGTAAGTAATAACAGTAATAAGGATAATCCATTCATTTAATCTATTCAGTTTCTTGACTGATTCTGAGTGACTAGATTTTGGAAAGAATGTGTCATTTCTACTTAGCAATACTAACCATTAAGGGAATTTTCTGGGCATTTTATTACTGGTAATGAGTGGATGAAGTAATGGTAGAAGCAATCACACTTCTCGTGTGCAGGCAAAGGACTAGCCAGTTTTAAAAATGTGAAGGGAATAGGATGAGTAAGCTAACCAAGCTGTTAGATTGAAGAAGAGAATGATGTGTCCCTGGAACTCTGTCATATAGTGACTTCGTAGACAATGCAGCCATCACATACCTGCCATTATGAATACTGGTGGAAAATGATATACATGAGGATGGATGCTGAACCTGTGTGGAGGGGTGCTGCACCCAGGTCCTCAGCTGACTTCCTGCAGTGGGCTGCAGCACAGGGTATGAGCAGGGATCAGCAGAGTAGTGTCCAAGTGTGTCTGATCTTCCTGGGCCACCAACATGTGCAGCACACCACATGTGGCAAAAGCCCTGCTCTGGGACCACCGATC